TCAAGGCCAGGCTGGATGGGGCTTGGAGCAACCTGGGCTGGTGGGAGGTGTCCCTGCCCATGGCAGGGGGGTTGGAACTGGATGATCTTTAAGGTCCCTTCTAACTTTAATCATCTTATGATTCTATGATCTGCCCCTGCCCTCACCTGAGCCGAGCTGTGAGGTCCAGCATATCTTCCCAAAGCCCAGGACAAATACTGAGTGGTTGCAACCAGGTGAGAAATCCTGGCCTGATGCACCTCACAGGTTACACGTCCTAATATCCCTCTTTCCATAAACATCATGCTTTAAACCACAGGCTGTAGCTCATTCAGGGCACCTGTGGTCCCTACTGTGGAAGCATTTGCTTTTCCTAGGAAATTATTAAGCACACCTTGTTCCAGAAACACCATAAACCAGGCTGTGTCATGGACAACAGAAAGGACACCTGTCAGGTGTGCTCCACCACCTCCTGTGTTTTAGAAGACAGAACTTGCTTTTCCAAATACCAGCCCCATAGTGTGCATCTATCTGCCCCTCTGGACTCATCAGTGACCCCTGTATTTGCTCCCCTGCATCTGAACACACGCGCACACACCAGTGTTCCTGAAGGCAAAGGACATCAAAACAGAAGGTCCAAGGACTAAAACCCACGAGAGGGACTTCTTTCAAAACTGGGAATCCTTTTCCTCCCTCCACATCCTTTAAAAGAAATCAAAAATAGATGCACAACATGACAGTAATACTACATGCAAAGGTAACGATTACTTGCACTTTCAGCCCATTTCTGCTTATCCTCTCCAGGATCCTGCTGGCTCCCCCGTTAATTTAATGATGGAGCAGAGCTCATGCTGAGTTTGTCTCCGTCAGGCTGATCTGGCTGAGCTGGTATCCTCATACTGATTGTGGTTTCCCTCGTGATCTCCAAATCCTTTCCAACTGCTCCTTTTCAGGAGCCAGCACCGGGTACATACAGTTTCTGGATGCATAACTAGCTTTCAGCAGCATTAAAAAGCAGCCAGTTTACCCACTTATAATGCTGCAGGACTTCCCTCTTTCTGGTTATACATCACTCTTCACCCAGAGTACAAGTGCTCTATATATTCCACAACCACAGAACTAGTGCATTGAGGCCCCCTAAGTACGAGCATCACCCTCCAGGTGCAAAAGCAAATTCTGGGAAAGGAGAGGAAGAAAATTCAATGAAGAAAAAGGCCCAGTCACCAGGATTTCCTGCAACTATTCTGGGTCTCCTCTATTCATTACATTTTGCTTTCTACAACATATTTAACTACTAACTAAGGTGGAGAGTGGGACACAGGTCTTCTTCCAGCCTAGGAAAATTTCATTCAGTTTTCATTTTTCAATCTCTCACCACACAGAAAGTCCATGGGCTTAATGAGAACCTTGAAGTCAAGTAGTTGGACACTTCAGGTGACATCCCTTCTAGAGTTGAGATGTGTGTGGAGCAAATGTCCTTCCAGACTGAGGAAAAATATACCTCAGCCCTGGGAACAAGCCTGGTAGGGAAGTCCTCACAGTTCCCCCTCAGGATCCCACCACCCTTATTTTTTCCTCTTCTTTCGTTGTTGTTGTAAGAGGAAAGTCTTAGGGATAAGAGATCTCACTCTACCTCTGAGCTAAATTAAGCTAATTAAGCTAAATCTTAAGGTGTAGCTTTCTGAAGTTTTGAAACCCAAAGCGTAGCTTTTTAAACTAGCTTAACTTACATTCTAGCTGTGCACATTTAAGTTAGGCATGAAACTGACCCAGAACTTCAAGCCTGTTTTCATCCCTGAGAGTTTTATAAATACTTTTTGTTTTGCCTGAGTTACAAACTCTGTGGGAAAAGGGACGCAGCTTGATTTGAATATAAACATTAGAACTGATGTGTCTCCTTTCCAAAGCACACCCAGAGTATCCCTAAGCAAAGCTGCTTTCAAGCATTATACAATAGCTAGATACAGATATAGAAGTGCCAAGAAAATATCTGAAATAGAAGAAAAATAACCCTGTGCTAATTGAGAGCTGTAAAATATGGCAAATCTATGACTACCTACCCACGTAAAGTAATCATCTCACACCAGGGAGATAATCTTTGGGTGTTAAACAGAACTGTACTCGCTCCATCTGTAAGAATTAACAGATGGAGCAACTCTTCGGGCTTTACGTAACAGTAATTAAACAAATCCTCACAATGGCCACATGATTTCATGCACAAGCCAGGGCAGTCTACAAAAATAAAAGCTTTGCTGTTGGGTTGGAAAATTCCAAGCCCAGAGAGCTCTGTGAGAGCCGTCAGGATGCTTTGGATCAGCCTGCCTCATCCTCCAGGATATCCTCCACGGGACCGGCAGCAGAAAATCCAGAAACAAAGCAGCTGCACCAGGCACCATCATCATCTGCAGGAAAAAGTTCTTTGACTTCTTCATCTGTAAGATGGGAGACAGTCATCCACACACCTCGCTACACTAGAAGCCAGTCTGAATAAAGAAAATATGGGAAAGCTGACAGCTTTTGGTACATATGAGAATTCAGTGTCCCCACAGACAGCCCCCTGGGACACCTCTCCCATGTCACCTGCTCACAGCCACCATCACCAGCATGCCACTGGGCTAGAGAGGCTGGAGGTGGGCACGTGAAACTCAAGAGTTACCCAGTACCACAGGCAGGACAAGAAATCTCCCCACCAGGTAACACACACGTGTGTGTACATACATGTGCGAAGCTGCTCATCTGTGGAGCACTGCGTCCAGCTCTGGAGGCCTCAGCACAGGAAGGAGATGAACCTGTTGGAACGGGTCAAGTGGTGAGGCCACGAAGGTGATCCAAGGGCTGGAGCACCTCTGCTGTGAGGACAGGCTGAGAGAGTTGGGGATGTTCAGCCTGGAGAAGAGAAGGCTCCAGGGAGACCTTAGAGCCCCTTCCAGTCCCTAAAGGGGCTACAGGAGAGATGGGGAAGGACTCTTGATCAGGGAGGGGAGCCACAGGATGAGGGGTAATGGTTTTAAACTGAAAAAGGGGGGATTTAGATTAGATATTAGGAAGAAATTCTTTCCTGTAAGGGTTGAGAGACACTGGAACAGGTTGCCCAGAGAAGTTGTGGCTGCCCCATCCCTGGAGGGGTTCAAGGCCAGGCTGGATGGGGCTTGGAGTAACCTGGTCTGGTGGGAGGTGTCCCTGCCCAGGGCAGGGGGTTGGAACCCTAGGATCTTTAAGGTCCCTTCCAACTCTAACCATTTATGGTTCTATGATCTAAAAGGGCATGAAATGGCAGAACAAGCAATAACTTAAACTGCCCCTTCTCCTTAACAGGAGAAGAAAGGAATCCATTGCAGATGGAAAATACAAAGAGGGACAGTACTTTTTATCTTCATTTTGTTTTTCCATCCTGCTCAAAAGTGAGCATCCTCGTTAGCACCAGCAGACCTCCCTTATCTCTGAGGTGCTGGACACAGGGATGTCCAAATGGGGCATCCCAGGAGTTAACCTCTGAGAAACCCTCAGAGCTGTGCTGGACATGAAGCCAGTATCTCCATGCCCCTCATCTGGGGATCCTGCAGAGCTCTGTCCCCTCCCCACCTACTACTCCACATCTCTATAAAGTATCACACATATCTTGAGCCAGAAACACATAGATTACACACAGGCCTTTGTCTCCTATACATGAAAAATATACAGAAATCTCCCATCACATCTAATACCAAGCCAAAAACAACACCTAGAAGAAAATTCAGCTCATTAAAACTGAACCTAGACCAGATCCAGGTGGGGGAAGGAATCCATCCAAACCTACTAATTGTGTAATATCCCATCTGCTATTGCTGAAAATTCCTGCTCTGCAACCTAATGAAGAATTTCACAGCTTTTGGGTTCTTTTGCTCTTCCAAACAAGATATTTTAGGAGAAAAAAAACCAAACAAAACAAAACAAAAAACCAACCCACAAATAATTGGGAGAATGAAACGTGCACTGATACAGCTCTTCATTCCTCTCCCAGCAAAATGAGTGACTGGAGGATATAAAGCCAATGCAGGTGTTCTGCTGCCACCACACGGTCACGAATAGACCTAGGCAGAGTTTTAAAATGTAAAAAAAAAAAAAGTTAGTGCTTCTTCAGAACACATCAATTCACCGAGCCTATCGGTTTTCTGCATTTCCTTAACTCCTCCCCAGTTGGGGGTACTTCTTCCAAACCCACCAGATGACCAAGGTCTCAGCCTGCCTGGTAGGTCTGCCCTGCAACTGGGTTGGATCCAGAGATGACAAGGTTCATCATGCATTTGGGCCTCCCTCTACATTGGTTTTGTAAGGTATTACAGCCCTGCATGCCAGAGTTCCACACCTCTAAAAGTGTTATAACCTGTAAAAAATAAAACGACATTTTCTATTAAGCCCAAATCTCTATTTTCTTTGTGGCGTGCAGAGGAGCAACAGAGCAATTTGCTTCTCCCTTCTTTCATGTCTCATGCTTAATAATTTTTCATCAAGTTTTTTGTGTTTTACAGGTGCCTTTTTTTTTCCCCAACAACCCTGAAAAAAATATACAAATGACCCATTATGTCTTCTCAGAATATAGGCATTTCTGAAACTCCATGCAGCTATGCTTACCTTGAAATTCAGCTCAAAACTTGAAAAACAAATCATGAAGGGCTGCTGTAAAAATTCAGTAGCCACAAAGCCATCTCGGGGCAGGGGGAGAAAATGTGTATCTAACTATTTCTCTTTTTGTGGAACGTGAACAAGTTTATGAGATATCTGATTTTTAAAAAGCTCTGTAAATGAATGAGGGAGAGTTGCCAACGGTGTTAGATTTTGGAGACAAACACTTCCAATAGTTAGTTTTCTTGGGATTCACTTCCAGTCTTTATTAATGAAGAATGCCACTGCCCATGATGTAGCCAAATCTTTGTTCAGGGACGTAAAAAACACCACCAGGGAGGTCTAAAAGTGACAAAAGACTGTAATTTCAAGGTAGTTAGAGAACAAGTCTGAGGATGATTCAGCTGCATACCATGAAGCTGGTTATAAGTAAAACGTTTATTATCTCTTTATATCATGAAAATTTCAGGACCCCGTGGTTTAATGCCACTTAATAGATTAAAGGTACTGCCTCAGGGATTTAGTGTGCTGTAGCATTAGTCCTCGTCCCACACCAGTGAAGTTCAATATGGATTGGTAGGTGGACCATACTGCTTATAGTGGAAATGGGCTGATTCCCATTACAATATCAGCCTCACAATGTGCTTACCATGTTGTCCCTTAAGGTAAATCACAGACACAGTTATATATCACCCCTTCTCCAAACTGCCTCAGAGGGAAAGATTTTTGAGACAGGAACACTCAAAAAGCTTTAGGGTCCATGGGATCAGCAAGTCATCTGTCTTGGGATGGGTTGATTGTGGAGTCCACGCTGATCTCATTTAACATGAAAGGCTGCATCCAACATTAGCATTTGGGGTGACTATTTTCAGCTGTCATGACTGTATTACATGACCAAAGTTCAAGGAAAACATGGCCACAATGATATTACGTGACCAAAGTTCAAGGAAAACATGGCCACAAGCAGAGTCTGTGTTCCAGAAAGCCATTTATGGTAACACAAATTACTGTCATTTATTTTACCCTAAAATACTTCCATTGACATATGTCAGTGCTTTATTGTGATGGTTTTGACCTCAGTGAAGAACTCATACGAATCCTTCGCTCCCTCCCTTCCTATGCCTGAGGCTTTCATCCCACCAAATGGCAAGTTCAGATCTCTAATGAGCCAGCAGTTGGTCCACACCAATCCAGACTGTAGTCTTCGTGCCACCCGGTGAACGCGTCCCACATTGCTGGACCACACAGTGGCTGCCAAACCATATTTCACACTGTTGGCTCTTTCAATCACTTCTTCTTCTGTATCAAATGCTACCACACATGTCACAGGACCAAAGATCTCTTCTTGCATGCAGCAAGATTCATCCTTGACTTCGGTAATAACTGTGGGCAACATGAAATAGCCTTTCTGGTTGCCAGTTGGGAGAGTCAATGAATCCACTCCCTCTCCACAGAGGACTCTGGCTCCTTCAGCTTGGGCTTTCTTCACATAGCTCCTTACCTGGGGAAGCAGCAAGAAAATGTCACTGCTAAAGGACACCAAATCCCGAGGATTCACCTCTCCAGTCTGGGCACACCAGCAGGAGCCCAGGAGCTATTCTCAAAAGGATCAAGTCCCTGGTGAAAACACGAGCGGTCCCAGAGCCTCCCTCCCTTCTTCCAGGAGCTTGGGCAGTTTGCCATGTATTCCATGCCAGGGTGCACTCATTTACTTCATGGGATCAGTAATATTTTCCTACCTCACAGGCAGGCTTGTTGAATGTTTGCATGCCACTAGGATGATGAAGCCATGAGTGCTGCAGAAAACCTCATCAATAAATAATTAAAGCTGTTTCCATCCTGCCGCTATCACATGCTACCTTGAACACATGGGACATGCTATCGATCTGCTTCTGCTGTTCTGAAATCATCGCCTGGTTTCTCTCCCCGTAGAAACACCACAGAGATACCACCGGCCTTCTTTCTCTTTTTTCTTCTTTTAACCACCTTGGTAGGTTCGACTCGGAAGTGCTCTGCGGTGCCGCAGACCGAGGACGTCGGGAAGTGGGTGTTTCTACAACTCTACTTCAGAGCAGGTCTGGAGAACCTGCTGAGGTGTCAGGAAGCGTGACAGAGGTCTGGCTTTCTCTCTCACCCTGTGGTTTTCTTGCTTATGCTGATAGTGTCAGATAGTTCAGGGTTGTGAGCATCTGCTCCCCTGAACTCTGCCTGACACCATAAAAATTCATTTCACACAAGCCACTAAATCAGATTCTGTTTAACCATGCATCCTCTCAGCTGCCCTCCACACACACACAATTCCAAATTACTGCAAGCAGTCCTACGTAACTGTGTACTTGTATTCCCCAGAATTTGCCAGAGCGATGTAAAAACAAGACTTTCACCTTATTAGGTAAGTAAGTGAGCTTAGCAAATGCAATATTGAAACCCATGAAAATGTTGCTGAGCTCGAAGATTGGTTAGCATAAGGGCAGGATTTAGAATTAATCATTTTGAAATAATTCACTTCAATCAGAAAGAAATATTGTTTGTCATTTTAAATTATTTTCCCCAGGGAGTTGATTTTTTCCAGAGTAATCATGTGATCCCAGGCCACTGAAAACCTTATCCAAAAGATACCTTATAATGGCGTTGAATCATCATGCCTCAGAGTTGATCTTGGAGAGGACACGGTCCTTTCCATACAGCCCTGAAACCACCTTTCAGAACCCTCTAAAAGATGAGGTGAGATCATGCAAACTCCATGTAACATCACCTTTTCTAGATGCTCTTTACTGATGAGGGCTCCCACGTCGACTGTAGGATCTGAGGGGTTCCCAACCTTCCACTTCTTCGCCTCTGCCACAAACCTCTTCAAAAACTCGCTGTATATGCCCCTCTGAACAAAGATCCTGGAGGTGCAGAGACAGATCTCACCCTACCAGGGGGCAGGGAGGGGGAAGAAAAAAAGAAAACCAACAATGTCAGTTCATATTACATTGTACTATTGACAAGTCTTAGGAGTCACACACCAGAATAAGACTTGTGTCACGACATCCTCAGGAGAGCAAACTGCATTCACCAACACTGCAAAGTGGGATTTTTCCCAGGTTATAAAGGAAAAGAGAAAAAAAAGACAAAAGCTCAATAACAGGATGGTGCAGTCACTTACTAATACAAGTAAATTTGATTTTTTCATTGATTATATGTTGTCTTCTCCAACATTTTTTATAGGAAATGCGATTTCCAATTCTGAATGATCTCTGCCTTCATTTCCTGAAAATCCCTCTCTGATACCAAGCTATTTTTCTTCACGTTTGCCCTGATACAGTTTCCTGCCTTTTGGTGATCTCTCCTGAGGGTGGCAATGAGGGAACATGAACATTGGTAGGATTTTGAGGGAAGTCTCCTAATTTAATACAAGCAAATGAGCAAGCTTCCCACTTCTCCCTTTCTTAGGAAAGGCTCAAGGAGCTGGGACCCTTTAACCTGGAGAAGAGAAGGCTGAGGGGAGACCTTATCAATGCTGAGAAGTATCTAAAGGGTGGGTTGAAGGAGGAGGGAGACAGATTCTTTTCAGTGGTTCCCAGTGACAGGATGAGGGACAACAGGCACAAGCTGGAACATGGGAAGTTCCACTCAAATATGAGGAAAAACTTTCTGGTGAGGGTGACAGAACCCTGGAACAGGCTGCCCAGGGAGGGTGTGGAGTCCCCTTCTCCAGAGATTTTCCAGACCAGCCTGGATGTAGTCCTGAGGGATGTGCTCTGGGCAACCCTGCTTTGGCAGGGGAGTCGGACTGGATGATCTCTAGAAGGTCCCTTCCAACTCTGACAATTCCCTGATTCCATGATTTGCAGGGTGGGGATTTCAAGCAGCTTCTTGCTGGAGGGATAAGCAACGTATCTATTTTGAGAGGGACAACAACACCTTGTTATCTTCTGATGGAAAGGAAGAGCCCTTTATTATTTTGTTTCCCTGCTTGTGGAGAAATGAAACCTTTTTCATATTTTCCTACTTGGGGTTTGCTCACAGCACGGAACCCTGAAACAGGCCCTGGCAAGGTAGGATTTGGAGCCAAAGGTATGTGCACCCCCCTGCTACCAATGGGGTTTATAGGCACCTGGTTGGCAAAGCTGGACCTCAGGGTGGTGGGGATGCATTGGCTCAAGTCGGCATCGTCAAAGACGATGGCGGGGTTTTTGCCCCCCAGTTCCAGCGAGAGGCGTTTGCAGTGCGGGGCGCTCCTCTCCGTGATGCGCTGGGCCGTCAGCGTGCTGCCCGTGAAGGAGATGAGAGGCACGTCGGGGTGGCAGACGAGGGCTTCTCCCGCCTTGGCGCCCGTCCCAAACACCACGTTCACCACCCCGTGGGGCACCCCTGAGGGGAAGAAAGGCACACGGTCATGGCACCCTTGCCCCTCGCTCTGCCGGTGTCACCTCACTGAGGTTTGTCCCTGAAGATAGAAAATTACCAAAAGCTCTAGGGTGAAAAAGACTGACCCTTAGCTTATGGAGTAGCTAAAACATTGGATTGGTGGATGAAAAGCTCAACGTGAGCCAGCAACGTGTGCTGGCAGCCCAGAAAGTCAACCACATCCTGGGCTGCATCAAAAGCAGCGTGGGCAGCAGGGTGAGGGAGGGGATTCTGCCCTTCTGCTCCTCTCTGATGAGACCCCACCTGGAGTGCTGTATCCAGGTTTGGAGTCCTGAGAACAGGAAGGACATGGACCTGTTGGGACAGGTGAACAGGAAGGACATGAACCTGTTGGGACAGGTCCAGAGGAGGCCATGAAGATGCTCAGAGGGTTGGAGCACGTCTCCTACAAAGGCAGGCTGAGAGAGTTGGGGTTGTTCAGCCTGGAGAAGAAAAGACTCCGAGGAGAACTTAGAGCCCCTTCCAGTCCCTAAAGGGACTACAGAAGAGATGGGGAGGGACTCCTGATTAGGGAGGGGAGCCACAGGATGAGGGGTAGTGGCTTCAAACTGAAAGAGGGGAGATTTAGATTAGATTTCAGGAAGAAATTCTTTGCTGTGTGGGTGGTGAGACCCGGGAACAGGTTGCCCAGAGAAGCTGTGGCTGCCCCATCCCTGGAGGGGTTCAAGACCCGGCTGGATGGGGCTTTGAGCAACCTGGTCTGGTGGGAGGTGTCCCTGCCCAGGGCAGGGGGTTGGAACTCCATGATCTTTAAGGTCCCTTCCAGCTCTAACCATTCTATGATTCTATGTTTGGTAACTCTGGGTGCTCATGGGTTAAAAGGTAAAACCAGTTCCACTGATGGAGTCAAGCTTGCCTGACATCCATCACCAGAGACCCAGTTTTCAATTATTCAGGGAAGAAGCAGTTGTCCTCCCAGTTTTTTCTTAATAGTGCACCAAATACAGCCGTGACACAGCCACTGAGAGCTGATTCTCACTCTCTTACACCCTCATGGTTCCTCTGCTGGCACCACGGACATAGGACATCCTTAACTGGAGTGCTGGAGCAGGAAAAGGGACCCAAGAAGACTTTTCATGAGAAGCTAGTGGAAAAAAAGCCTGGGAAATAGCTGGGGTGGAGAGATGGCATAGTGTGGGGACAGGGAGAGCTTTTCATTCTCCAGGTGCAACATTCAGCTACAGTCAACAGTCTTTCCCAAATTCTTTGAGCACTTTCTAATTTCTGCGACAAAAACGGTACAGAGGTGAGCAGTTCCACCCCATTTCCCCACCCTGGCACCCGGCGGGACTTACCTGCCTTCTCCAAGAGCTTGCACATCATCCAAGCTGTGACGGATGTCATCTCACTTGCCCCCACCCTAGCATCCAGTGGGACTTACCTGCCTTCTCCAAGAGTTTGCACATCATCCAAGCTGTGACTGACGTCATCTCACTTGGCTTGGCAACCACAGTGTTTCCACAGGCAATGGCAGGAGCTATTTTCCAGGTCAACAAGTACAGCGGCAAATTCCAAGGGCTGATTAAACCAGCTGCAAAGAAAAAAAGCCCAGAAGACAGGATTTCAGTCTGCTGGGACACGAAACTCATTTCTTTGCACCTCAAGCAGTTTTACAGCAATTCAGATTTTTGAAGGGAATGTAGCTATGAATTTTATTTCCAGACAATCGCACGATAAATTTGCAGATGGAAACATTTTTATCACAGGCAGATAATTTTAAGAGATTTGTACAAATGATCCTAAAGGTAATCAGATGAACTCTCTGAATAAGTTTTGCTGCTTCTTCAGGACATAATCTTCACAACATTTTAACAACAGGCTTTTCAGTGTTTTCTAGGATAATTGGTTCAAGGTTGGCCCTAACAATTAATTACATCAACCTTATATTCACAACAGGCTTTTCAGTGTTTTCTAGGAAAATTGGTGCAAGGTTGGCCCTAACAATTAATTACATCAACTGGTCTGTGGTAACACCCCCTGTTAGCAAACACCAAGTTAAGGTAACCTGTTAGCTCAGATCAGTCTTGCTTTCTGATGTTCTTTAGAGTTTCAAACCCCCATCCTTCCCCCAAATTTTAACATAAAAAGAGCATGCATAGCATATAGTGCCTATTTTCCTGGTCAATTTTTGCCTAGATTATGAGTGCCAAAGTTTGTCAGTGCACAAATGGCTGTTTCATCCAATTGCTGAATTACCAGCTTTTTCTCAGCAATTGCCTTTGGGAAGACTTTCACCTTACACAGTCACAGGAAATAGTAAAAAAAAACATCTTTAATCATTAAACCTGCTCACAAACACCACGGGATTTCTGACTGTTTGATGGAGTAGAGCACGGAGAGGTTTTTCCTTACGAGAGTGATTTCACCAGAAGTACCCATGTTCTCCATAGGAAATAGTGAAAAAAAATCTTTAATCATTAAACCTGCTCACAAGAGCCACAGGATTTCTGACTGTTTTATGGAGTAGAGCACGGAGAGGTTTTTCCTTACGAGACTGATTTCACCAGAAGTACCCATGTTCTCCACGGCTCACAGAAAACTTTTCAATGGGCCCTCTAGGTCAGTCAATTTTATTTTATTAAGTAATTCCAGTGTGAATGTGGAACACTGACATATATTTAGATAAAACACCTAATACTGGAATTGTTACGACGCTATTACTTGTCAGGGCAGCAAAGCTACTTTATTTCTGGAGCATCAGCAGCATCTAGTGGCTGAGTTCAGCAATTCCCCAGCTAAAAGCGATTTATTCCCCCCCCCCTTCCTCCGTGTGCACCCCAGTCACAGGCTGAAATGTCACTTTGCAATCCAGTACTGATCCCCTAAAGGGATCCAGCTCTTCCAGCAGGAGCAGCTGGATCCAGTGCTTCTGGATGCTCCACTCGCCCCCAGCAGTAACAACAACTTCCCCCCACAGACACACACAAAATGCAAGAGAAATATCAAGGGTGAGAGCTACACAGTTAAAACATAGAATCAGAGAATAGTTAGAGTTGGAAGGGACCTTAAAGATCATCCAGTTCCAACCCCTGCCCTGGGCAGGGACACCACCCACCAGACCAGGTTGCTCAAAGCCCCATCCAGCCTGGCCTTGAACCCCTCCAGGGATGGGGCAGCCACAGCTTCTCTGGGCAACCTCTTCCAGTGTCTCACCACCCTCACAGGAAAGAATTTCTTCCTAAAATCTAATCTAAATCCTCCCTTTTTCAGTTTAAAACCATTACCCCTCATCCTATGGCTCCCCTCCCTGATCAGGAGTCCCTCCCCATCTCTCCTGTAGCCCCTTCAGGGACTGGAAAGAAACAGATGCTTTTTAAGGCATATAAGCATTCTTTTGACCAAGAAGCAGCAAAACTGATTTTACAAGGAGTTGCTCGTGCTTTAGCAGACCAGTCGTGTTTAGCACAGGACCCAGAGGCACCCGATGCTTTTGAAAAAACCCTCTTTCTTTGTAGAGCCACGGCAGAGGCAGCTCTGCCAAGCTCTGCAGTGTTTTGGGACCACCCTACCGACTCCCACGGGTGCCCGCGAGGTGTAGTGCACACAGCCCATGGTTTCCATCTCGGTGCACTCCGTCGTGTGGTGAAGGATGGAAGAGGCAAAGAATCGGAAGTTGTACACGGCCCGGGGGATGTCCACTGCTCTGGCAAAGGCATCAGGGACTGGAAAGAAACAGATGCTTTTTAAGGCATATAAGCATTCTTTTGACCAAGAAGCAGCAAAACTGATTTTACAAGGAGTTGCTCGTGCTTTAGCAGACCAGTCGTGTTTAGCACAGGACCCAGAGGCACCCGATGCTTTTGAAAAAACCCTCTTTCTTTGTAGAGCCACGGCAGAGGCAGCTCTGCCAAGCTCTGCAGTGTTTTGGGACCACCCTACCGACTCCCACGGGTGCCCGCGAGGTGTAGTGCACACAGCCCATGGTTTCCATCTCGGTGCACTCCGTCGTGTGGTGAAGGATGGAAGAGGCAAAGAATCGGAAGTTGTACACGGCCCGGGGGATGTCCACTGCTCTGGCAAAGGTAATCGTTTTGCCTGAAACGAAAGGAAAGACAGTGCTGTGTTTGCGTGGGCAGAAATGGTGCTTCGAGCTCTGCTCTGATTTTGCATGGGTTTGGGGAATTATCTTTTGTCCCCCACCCAAGTAGTCCATGGCACATCGCAACCACAGTCAATAAAACAGCTCCCCTGTAGTACTGCATTCCAAATATCTCACAACCGACGTCAAAGTCAGCAATTCTGAAAAGCAACGATGCCCCAGAAATCCAAAGTCGGCAACTTCTGCAAAGTTCATGCACATCAACTCCAGTTTGCACCACCAGCTCATACCATACTAAAAATTTGCACCATATCCTTCATTCAGCAAGACACTGGACATTAGAGATCAACGGTTCCAGTTTTTACCCTGATCCTTTGACTCTGCTTGTGCAAATGCTTCCAGGTCATGTTCAATCAGGTCTGCCAATTTGTTCAGGATCTGAGACCTTTCCAGTGGACTTTTTGAGGACCAAACGGGGAAGGCAGCTTTGGCAGCTTTGACAGCAGCTTCTACCTAAAAAAGCAGAGAGAGATGGTGACTATTAATGGAAGGCCTTAGAAAGAATATCAAACAATCAGCAGATGAACTCATATTTGAGAGGCTAATAACCCAGATCACATTGTTGGGAACACCGTGTCTCTTCAAGTTGTGACTGTTGATAGCTTCTCCATTTTCACCTTCTCAAGACACTGTCTCATAACTCAAGACAGTTTCTTGATACTCTATTTCAAGGTAAGTCTTGGTTTTTTCTACATTTCAGCAACTTGTGGGGAATCCTCCAGGCCTGGAGGAAATGCTGGACCAGTCAACTGGCACCAGCAAGAGCCACTGGCTGAACCCATGTAGGATCTTGTTTCTCGTGGGGGGAAGCTCAAGTACTTCTTTGCCAGAGCAAATCCAGCCTCAATTTAAACATCCACAGTTCTTGTCACACAGGACTTCAGCCGCAGTGGGCAATGATGGAAGTAAGGGGTTAGGGAAGGAAGGGACTGTATGCCCTGCTCGACTTTGATTTCCTCTTCCCTTTTCCCCAGCTGGTTCAAGCAAGGACCAAGAATGTATTTACAGACCAGACACTCAGAGAAAATTTTTAATCTTACCTGAGCACAACTAGGAACTCATTATCAGCCTCAAATAAAAAAAAATAATAAATTAGCTTCTTTCTAAAACTCTTGGGGTTTAGTCAGTTCGCCTCAATTTAAACATCCACAGTCCTTGTCACACAGGACTTCAGCTGCAGTGGGCAATGATGGAAGTAAGGGGTTAGGGAAGGAAGGGACTGTATGCCCTGCTCGACTTTGATTTCCTCTTCCCTTTTCCCCAGCTGGTTAAAGCAAGGACCAAGAATGTATTTAATCTTTAATTTTACCTGAGCACAGCTAGGAACTCATTATCAGCCTCAAAAAAAAAAATAAAAATTAGCTCCTTTCTAAAACTCTTGGGGTTTAGTCAGTTCTTTCATCAGATACCTAACAAAGTCTAGAGATATGAAAGATCGTTATATGTATTTCATATAGATGCATACCAGTCTTGCCAGTATTTTACTGGAGATGGACATAACTACTGCATGGTTCTTCAGCCTGACACTTCTGAATAGTGGCAGAATACCAGCACTTCTCTGAAGCAGACTAGGCCTCAAAGGATTAAAACTTGACCAAAAAGCACTTTCTTCCATTAGTCATTTCCTCTGGGCTCTTAAATGAAAGTTATCTGCATCTGCTGATTTATAAGCAGTCCCTTCTCGATGATTTTTACCCGTCTAAAGATGTTTACCAACATCCTTCCATATTTTAATTTAGTACTCTATTTCCCAGTTTTTGCTTCCTATGCATCTCTTCTTAATTGCTTCCAGTGTCTAGCATAGACATCAAGGTGGGCTTTAAGCCAAAGCTGTTTTAATTAATTTCCCATTGGTTTTGCTCATAGATTTCTTCAGCTTTTGGAAAATCTGCCCAAGTCAATAACCAGGAGGATGCTGATGTAAGATTAATCAGATAATTCTGACCTCTCCTAATGTTGCCACTTTGCAGTCACTGAAGACTCCTTTCCATCTGAGACAGGCTGAGAGAGTTGGGGATGTTCAGCCTGGAGAAGAAAAGACTCCGAGGAGAACTTAGAGCCCCTTCCAGTCCCTAAAGGGGCTACAGAAGAGATGGGGAGGGACTCTTGATCAGGGAGTGGAGCCATAGGATGAGGGGTAATGGTTTTAAACTGAAAAAGGGAGGATTTAGATTAGATCTGAGGAGGAAATTCTTTCCTGTGAGGGTTGAGAGACACTGGAAGAGGTTGCCCAGAGAAGCTGTGGCTGCCCCATCCCTGGAGGGGTTCAAGGCCAGGCTGGATGGGGCTTGGAGCAACCTGGTCTGGTGGGAGGTGTCCCTGCCCATGGCAGGGGGGTTGGAACTACATGATCTTTAAGGTCCCTTCCAACTCTAACTATTCTCTGATTCTATGATCAGTTCCACAAAACTGAGTTCAAAATGTGTTCCTTCAGAGGTGATGGGTGTTATAAGAACCACCTCTAAATTTACAGTCTCCCTCAAAATAAGGACCAGAGTTTGAGGGCCAGAATAGTACTGGCACTGGTGACATCGCACAAGGTCACACGGGCCACTGGCCAAGCTTGACTGTCATTCGACAACCTCAGGTGCCGTGGGTGTCAGACTGGCAGCCACCAAGCAGCTGGAGCAGGGCCAAGGCAGGCCTGGAAAAGGGGAACCACAGCTTCTTGATCGAGTCAAGTGTGGGTGGCACACCACCCTTTAAAGGTTCACCCTCTGTGGAACCATACCACCCTCAACTAATCAACTTGTTCTTCCACCCTCCCGTCATTAGGTGCCATTGTGGTGCTGCTTCTCATCTGTTCTCTGCTCTGCGGCCTTTTCCACCAGGTGCTTTGGTGCATCAATAGGGGGCTGGTGTGCAGTGAGGACTATCTGCATTTTCAACCCTCCGGTGGGTTTAGAATAAGGAAGATGTCACATTCTCACAGCAGAAAAGACAATCAGCAAAGGAAGGAATGAAGCAGTAGATTGATCTGAAAAAAAAGCAAGAGGAGAAAAAAAAAAGGAGAGAGATTTGTACAGAAGAAGTAAGAGAGCGTAGAAAGGTTAAACAGTTACTTAGTTTGACTAGCAAAAAAACCAGCAAAGAAAAGTTGAGCTATCAAGAAAACACGCGTAGGAATTCAACTATGAACTCGTGTGTCTGAAACACTTCCTTCTGCTTTCCTCTTCTGCACAAGAGAGAGACAGAGAAATAACACACAATCCAGACCTGTCGTTAAAGGCTGACACCAAAACACCCCAAACTGCCCTTAGAACATGTTGTTTCAGCCTTTCAGTACTTACAGGGGGCCTACAGGAAAGATGGAGACAAACTTTTTAGCAGGGCCTCTTATGGGAGGACAAGGGGTAGTGGCTTGACACAAAAAGAGGGAAGATTTAGACTAGATAGAAGGAAGGAATTTTTTACAATGAAGGTGGTGAAACACTGGCCCAGGTTGCCCAGATTGGTGGTGGATGCCCCATCCCTGGAAACATTCAAGGTCAGGTTGGACGGGGCTCTGAGCAACCTGGGCTAGTTGTGGATTAAACAACCTTTAAAGGTCCCTTCCAACCCAAACTATTCTACGATTCTATATTTGCTTTCCCAGTGGACGATGCACAGGATCAAGGTTCTTTAGAGAGAGATGGAGTTTTTTTAAAGAGATATTTGCCAGGACCAATTAGCCCTCACCAGCCTGTCTTTCGGAGATACAGGCCACCTCTTCAGCCTGCTTTGGTGCTGCTGTTTGGGATTTAAGACATCTAGATAGGGGAGAAAATTAACCCTTGAAAAAACATTCAATGTTTTTAGCAGAAACTGGCTGAAATGGCCTCTTCACCCGACCTGGTGTTAAATTCCAGCGTCAGCAACGAATTCTCTGTCTCCATTCTGCCTCCTAACTCTCCGTTAAAATTAACCAAGAAAAAAAATAAATCCAAAAGGACATTGACCCTTGCTAGAAACCACCATCCCAAGTTCTTTGCTGAACCTGGATCAAGATGCTCATTTTGAAATCTCCAGATACCCTCTAATTAGTATGTGATTGCACTTTCTCCTGCAGCATATTCGCATCCCGAGTTATTTGCTGAACCTGGGTCAAGATGCTTATTTTGAAATCTCCAGATACCCTCTAATTAGTATGTGATTGCACTTTCTCCTGCAGCATATTCCACCAGTGGATGCCAGCTCTGCGGAGCCCAAACCTCTTGTACAGTTGTTCAAAGCCCACCAATCACTCAGCTCTGCAGAGCCCAAACCTCTTGTACAGTTGTTCAAAGGCAGGAGTAAAGCACTTGGTGACTTTTTGGGTTGTTTCAACTGGGTTCCCACCACTACACACAACCACTAACTCAGAAAGCTGACAGAGAAAAGCCATTGCTCTTGACATGTATTTGACCTACAGCTCCAGAATGGCCACCAGCCTTTTTTGTTAGTTTTCTCACATCTCTCTGGTTCTAATTATTTTGCAAATGAATGAACAGGAAGATTTGCACCTGCACATCAAAGAGAAGTCTTTTCAGGCATAATTAGGGCTGGAGTGAACTTACACAGCTGTATTCTAGCAAACCCAACCTGTTACACTTTAACCCTTGGTCACCAGGATCTGGCAAATATTTACCCAGGTGAAATTACGGTGCAAAGGTTCCTGCTGAGACAAGCAAAGATAAAAAGATGTCAACAGGATTGAAACGCAAGCGAAGGGGACAGCTACACACAGTAGCAGTTTGTTTTAAAAAACCTTTTGAAAATGAAAATACTCTATGCTATTAGTCAATATTTGCCAAGCCATTCACGCTGCCCAAGCTTTTCCAGTCATTTCTCTCCGCAGTAAATCTGAAACGCCGTCAGTGACACACTTGTAGGTCCCTTATAAAGTAGCATCAGGGAAACTGCAGCTCCCCAGGTGAATGTCACGCTGTGCCCACCACATTAAAAGGACCGGGAGACGTTCATCCCACCAGAGGGAGAGCACAGCACTCGGAAACACTGCATCAATGCAGAGGACAAGTGGTATTACAAAGAAATGTAGGCTCCTCGCAGCCACTTCATCACCTCCACCTAACATCCAGCTGCTAATACCAAAACCAGAGAGGACTGGAAGCTCTCTACCATCTTTCAGGGAAGAGCCAGCAAGCCAAAAAATCCTTTTAAATGACAACTGCAAATCATCAAGACGCATTTAGCTGCACACTAACTGTGCCTCTAGGTTTATTTACAGAAGATAAAACTCTTCTCCCTCTTCTCTCTTCCAGGTTGGTTATGCTTATGCCAGCCTGAGCGTTGCTGCCAACTTATGTACAAGACACCAACTCCCGTGCGAGCTGAAGGAGCTCCACTGAAGTTCAGCCGAAGCTTTGTTGATTTACACCAGCCTGGGATCCAGCCTGTAACTCTCTTAACAGTAAAAAGTAAAAAAATATAAAATAACAGTATTGGCTGCTGCAGCAATAGATTCCACAGCGCTACGAGGCAATCAAGAACTTACTCATTTAAGCATTAAAAGTCTTTGGGTTTTTTTTTTTTTTCTGTTCTCTCATCTCCAGCCTCTCCCACTCAAAATATTATCAATGTTACATGCATTTAACGTTTTCACCACCTTTGTACGTTTGGCTGGTACTCACCTCCTCTTTGCCACTGTCTGGCACCCTGCAATAGACATCTCCGGTGGCCGGATTATAGGAGTCTATGTAGGAGGAACAAGGAACGAATTTGCCAGCTATAAAGTTCTCCAGCACCAAGAGAGGCTTTGAGTCAGCCATCGTTAGCCTCTTGCTGCCTCTGTGATTTCTTTTTCTCCTGCCAGGTACCAATTTAGCTTCGCTGTTGTGTGTGTTTGCACAGCCAGGCTGAACTCCTCCCCCTCTCTCTCTCCCTCTTCCCTGCGCCGCTTGCTCACCAGTGGGAAGGAACCCTGGCAATAACAGCAGAAAAAAGGAAAAGGGGTGTGTGTGTGTGTCAAAAATTACTATTTCTGTGACATTCGGGTCCTTTCTAGGAGTCAGGAGAGGCAGGATCAGCAGAGACGTTAGAAAACAGCTCCTCTCTCTCTATAGGAAAGAAAATGCTGAAGGAGGGGAGAAAACAAATGGTTTTTGACAGAAAAACGTCTCCCTCTACCAGCTTTTCAAGCTCAAGTCTGAAGAAAGGCATTTTGCAACAACTACACAAAATAATTTGAGACCCAAACACCTTGCCATCAGCAGATGTAGAGAACAGACACTTGGACCAGCGTGTCTGCAGCTCGTTTACTGTTTTGTCATCAGCAACACTTCCCCCTTGTCAGCCCAGAAACAATGGTTATGCCAAACAAAAATATTTGAAAGATAAGAAACTATCTTTTTTTCCACCAACATCCCCAAACATCAAACAATCCAAGCAGCTGAGTGGCCCTTCAATTCAAAACAGCTGAGAAGCACCATCCCACCTGGGTACACTCTGGGGCACGTGTCAGAAAGCCAGTGTTTAAAAAAGAACCAAGAGACCAAGCATGATTTTCATGCTTTCCCTTCCATAGATATTCCAGAGGAAGCCACCTTACTATAGAGAAGCCTGTTACATATAATTAGTTTTTTCTTTAGCTATCCAGGAACCTGAACTTCCCAGTAACAGCCAGTTCAGAGACATTTTTCTCTGAGAGAGAATGCTCAGATTATCAAATTGCTCCAAGATTGCATCCCACCTCCAGAGACATTTAAACCACCACATCCACATTGGAGAGCTGTACGATGACACCAGACTGTAACTTTTTCAATCAGCAGTTTAGAAAGTTTTTGCACCTTAGAGCACTGCCAAGCCATCACATTTCTTGTGGATCAACCCATAAATGTATTTTTATCTAATAAAAGTGATACGATTTTTGTTGCACAACAGACTGTTCATGCACCAACCCAGTGGTGCCTTTGGGCAGAGTTCAAATCAGGGCTGAAGGGTAGACAGGTTGTGTTGGAACTGTGTTAAGCAACACCTCTGGCTCTCCCAAGCTACAAACTGGAAAAGCACGAAGTAGCTTTTCCATAGTCACAGAACACCAAGTCTCAAAATTCAGTGCAACCATGTGTGAAAAGGGTTATCCCAGGTTCACCCCTCGCTTCCTCGTCCACAAACAGCAAGGAAATTACTGAAGTCTTCAAAGTAAACACATGTTCTTCTGCCTGTAGCACTCCAGCTGTCCCCCGAATTAAAAGCCACCTAAACATTTTCAAGGTTTGAAGGCCAGTTCAAGTGGAACGGGTTCAACAGGGGCTTGGGGGGACAAATCTCTGGATTCCAACGAGTGCACTGAAACCTTCACGGCTGGCACCTTGAAACCACAAAGTATTTAAATGCAATTTCTGGACTATAAAAAGACATAACGAATAGTGATAATTCATAAGCTTTGGTTTTGGCAGTAACAGTTTTCAGACAGAATCATAAAGTATGGTTAGAGTTGGAAGGGACCTTAAAGATCATCCAGTTCCAACTCCCTGCCCTGGGCAGGGACACCTCCCACCAGACCAGGTTGCTCCAAGCCCCATCCAGCCTGGACTTGAACCCCTCCAGATATTTCAGAGTCATAGGATTTTACAAAAGTAATTTCCACATAAAGTCTTGCTGCTGCTTCTACAAATGTGCGTGTGTCAACAGTACAATCCATCTATGTGGCCAAGTGCTGGGATCTGCTGAACTGGGGCCAAAGCATCTAAGTGCAAAAAAGAGTTACCTACCAAAAAAAACCCATGTGGGAAGAGTAGTTTTGGACCATACATGACTTTGAACTAAATAACAATCAAAAGCTTTTTGTGTTCTTCACTACGCAGGGCACTACACTACACAGCTTTACTTCAGTCATCCCCAGTGACTGATGGTCTGGAGCAAAGACTTCAGTTCCTTCCTCCAGGCTACTAACTATGGTCTAAGTAGAGCTGTCTCCACCCTGCCCAGGTCCTGAAATACCTGAGGTCCTCTCAGAACTCCTATCTTCCAAGTTGTAGCAAAGTGTGTGTGTCCTGAGTTTGTGCTGAAGGTGGCAGAACGACCCTCTTTTTCAGTTGGAAGCTTTCACTTGCCCTGTCACCAAGAAGTGGGAAGGAGTCACAGGCTTGAGCAAGTAGAATTCAGCTTTAGCATCCATCCTGAGATGAAACTTTGGGTTTTCTTCAAAAGAGCACCAAATCTGGATGAAAGAGATATGTACACGCAGCAGCTGCACCGAGCAACACGTGAGAAAAACTGAAATTATTTCCACAGCAAGATAAGTCGCATGCCAGTTTCTCATTTTAACTCAGAAGTTTACCCTGAAACTTCTGAGTTATGGAAAGTAAAGAACGATTTAACACAATTTAGAAGTGCTTCAATAACAAAAGCTCAAGGAGACAAAGCTTATGCTCAGACAAAAGTTATTTTATTATTCTTACAGTTTAAAAAATAAAATTAGCCAATGTTGGCACAGCTTCCACTACACGGCAAAAGAAAACTTCTTTTTTTTTTAAATAAATTTTGGGACAGGGAAAACGATCCCAGGATAATACGACATGCCATTCTCTTGAAACCAAAGTAAAAGTTCTTCTTTTCCCTGAATACGCACTCAACTCAAACCTCAAAATATATTAGACCAATAAAGTTACTTTACTGAATTAATGTGCAGCAAGAAAGCAAATCAAAGAAAATATGTAAACAATTTATGTCTGGAAGTAAGGAGTTTGTTTCATGATGATTCATCGCCTTTTTCTCTAATTCAACTTTCTAGGATTTTTCCATCAGGCTCTCTAAGGGCTAAATTCCACATGGAGAAACACACGAGATTCTTGAGATGGAGAAGTGCAACTTGAGCAGTTCCTTGTCAGTTGGCATCTTGTTCTGCAGCAGGAGAGACCGATGAAGGGCTCCCCGCACATCCCACACGATTGAACTTTCCTCATCATCACCTTTTTATCCCCAGTTAATTGCACTTGTTCCTTCAACTGAAGTAACTGGATTCTTAAACAGAAGTTTGGATATCCGATTGCATTTTGGTTGGACGGTGGAAGTTCTGGCACCATTGTCATTCTTTAATCTAAAAATATAAGCAAATGGAAAAAAAAAACAACCCACCCTATGGTGAAAAATGAAGTACTAAATGTAAAACGATCACAGCTTTTTTTCAACATGATATAGTTAAGCTTTGGAAAAAACTCATTTCTTTTGGTCTGAAATTCTCTGGAACGAGATTACAAGCAGTAAAACAGCAATTTCCAAATAACAATCAAAGAGTTATTTAGTCCCCAATTCTAGAACATAGACCTAAGTAGGTCCCCCATTCACTTCAAATTAAATGTAATGAAAAATGGATGCAAGATTAAAGCCCTAATTCTGGATCCTATTTAAGACGAGACAGATTGTTGAGAGCACTAAGGCTCCATAAGGGCCAAAGCCCCTGGCAGACCTAGAGCATCATTCCTGCCCACACAGGGAGAAGCCAGAAATTCTCACGCTCTAGTTCTAAGTTTTGACATTAAATGACTCAGCTTTAAGTCAGTTCAGTACCAGAACTAGGTTAACGTGACTAAACTGCTCTCCCTCAGGCCTAGAATTAGGACTCAAATTCTAATTAAAAAACCTTGCTAAGGTTTTTGGAAGTGACAGAGGAACATTCATATATTTGCTCCTAATAGGAGGCAAAACATTTATATTTAGCCTCACAGCCTTTGCTTCCTCTCACTTACAGAGGATCAGAAAACATCTATAGGCATTGGTGAAAATCAAATGTTTAATTGTCTTTAATGTAAAATTAAAAGATCTGTGACCCTAACCAGCCATAGTAAAAATTGCCAACACTTCTTACTTACAAACTACTTGCAGGATATTTATGTTACATCCAGTTAGATGTCAGAAAGACTGATGTATGCTAAAAGACTGAAGCATTATTTTTTAATTCAAGAGAGGCAGAAGAAAGCACAATAATAAAAAATTCTAAATAAAGTAATTTTTGCTCCCAATAAACTGAACAGAACTGTGGCAAACTTTCCCCACAACTTGCTGAAGAACCGTCTCTTTTTCAGCAGAATAAATTCACTTTTCAGAACAAAGGGTGCAAAATGGGTCTTAACCATAAAAACTAAACGCTAGGTGAAAGTTTACACCATTCCTTTATGGCGTGGGAAACCTGTTACAAAAATGTCATACCTCTGTGACAACTCCTGCAGCAATAGTGGAACCACTGTAGCGTAACATAAACCTCCCAAGCTCTTTAAAATCTTTATACAACTCTAGAGCAACAGGTCTTTGAGTCTGTAGTTCTATTAGAGCATTCTGTCCTTTAGTCAAGCACCTGCAGGTGAATAAGCAGAAAACTCCATTATAAATATATGCATGCAGAAATGAGAAAGAGAGCAGTGAATAAATGGGAAGAAAAAAAAATAATCAACTTAAAAAGCCATGATCAAGCTGGATTTAACATATAACTCAAGCTACCAGATTGAAAACTCATATGTCTGGAGCACACCTTATCTGAGTTTTCTTTAGAAACTCCTGGAGAAGTTTAGTATCTCATTAATACCTGCTTTTTCATGTCTAGTAGAAATCAAGACTTGTGTCAAACCCAATAACTAAAGAGCCAATTCACTGTTCTGTAGAAGTCATGATTCTTCTTCCATTACCTTTCTGCAACAGTTCCAGCCATGCAATTTCTGAAACGTTGTATGTATCAAATAGGATTTTTCTACCCAAATACAACCTTGAGTAACTAGAGGGATGTTCCCACAGTTTAACTTGTATGGGAAGACTCCCTAAATCTCTTTTTCTCTGACCCACTGTCTAGTCGAGTTTATTGTAGACAGTAGCCCATCTCCAGAATTATACCAGGGAGCCCATGGAGAAAAGAG